GGAAGATACTCCACAGGAGAGAATGGAGTGAAGCCAGAAGAGGTTCCTTCTGGTGCAAGGGACACAGGACAGGGGGATGGCCCCGCAGAACTCTCCTATATTACTCAGCCAATTGCACTGTTATTAGCAAATAATCTACTTAGCAAAATTGGGATTCCATCAGCTCTGCAGCTCATCAGCACATCGCTCATCCCCTGTATTGGGAACACATCCACCCCACCCTCCCAGGAGTTACGCTTTGTAACGGGAATGATTAAACAGGGAGCTGATGGCCATTCTTACAGCTCAGCGCACAGCTATCCCTAGCCTGATTCTGCAAACACCTGTGCACCAGAGCAACTAATTACGGGAGTTAGGATGGGACAGCTCATGCAAGGGAAGTTGTGGGATAGACCCTTGTTCCTTTAGATTGCAGGGGAGTGGCCTCGCAGGTACTTTTCACCCTGGCTAGTAGACTCTGGCTATGTCTACACAGCAATCAGAGGTGTCATTGCAGCACAGGCAGACAGACCTGATCTAGCTAGCTTGGGTACTGACAGCAGTGAAGCCAGGACAGCAGAGGCTGCCTGCCTGGGAAGGTACCCAGGGTCCCATGCTGAAGTCCATGCTGCCACAGCTTCACTGCTATTGGTACTCCCGCGAGCTAGATGAAAGCTGCCTCGGGTATGTCTACACATGCTGCAGTCACATCCCCGATTGCAGTGCAGACGTACCCTCAGCCTTTGGGTTAGTTGGTGCACTTTTTTCAATCCCTGGGCACAACTTTTCAGAAAGCCGTATCGGGAGCTGAAATGGTCTATGCTGTACCTCAGGCAGAAAGCCGACATCGCCGTTCGGGGCTCAGCAGGGAAGGAGAGCACCGAATGGAACAGACCCCAAACACATTGCTGTCTGCGGAGGGCCCCGATGCACTCTCAGTTATACCAGCCTTTAGCTTCACTAACTTGACTCCAGATTGTTACAAAGATTTTGACTCAAAATAAGGCACAGATCCACTGTCTCCCTGTGCTTCATTCCCTACGTATCCTGCTTCATTCCCTGTGCAGGGGTCCTGAGGAATTAATGGCATGTGGTTATGCAATTAAAGCCTTTATCATAACGGGAAGAGTTAAGGGAGCAGGGACAACCTTTACAATGACATTTCCTGACTGCTGAGGCCTCACTTTACAATCTTAACATCCTCTGAATAGATTTTCATTTAGTCAATTTCCTAGCTCTCTGCTCCCAAAGGGCACTCCTGCCCCATCCCAATCCCACCCACACAAAGAAGTCTACAGTGTAGAGGGATTTGCGAGTGAGCAGCAGGTGATTCTGCTTAGCACAGGATGTGCATTCACCATCGAAGGACATTTACATTCTGGGAATCGTGGCACAATTCAAAAAGAGGACGATCTTGGTTAAAGCACTAGCCTAGGACTCCAAAAACCTGGGCACAATTCCTGGCTCTGCCACAGACTGAATGACCTTGGGAAAGTCACTTAGACCCTGATCCTGATCCATTGAAGGAGCTTTCTCAGTGAGTTCAATGAGCACAGGCTCAAGCCTTCAATCTCTTGGCTTAACTTTAAACACGTGTTTAAATTCTTTGCGGAATAAGGGCTTTGTGCCTTCATTCCCCATGTACACAACGGGAATAATCCCCCTTCCTCTCTCCTCTGCCTGTTTTGTCTGTATGGACTATAAGCTCCTGGGAGCCAAAACCGCCCTGTACTTTATGCAGCACCTAGCACAACACAGCTTTGATCTCAATTGCTGCCTCTAGGTGGCACCGTAAAATCAGAGAGGCATCTCATTCGGCACACGTTCACATCACGCTGCCTTATTCCATCCGTGCCTTCAAAGACCTAAGAGTTCACCCCGCTTTGCAATGCACAGGGCCAAGAGAGGACAACTGTCAGACCACCCTTGTCATGAAGAGATTGCCATGCACGCGTCATGTGTATTTTCAATGCTTTATAATTGAGCCAAATCAAAATGGATTTTCATCACACCTCTGAAAGGCACAAGTCAGACCTAGGGACTCTCCCCGGGTCGAATTTCGCTTTTCGATCCCAACCTGCTGATGTGCCAACACTGTTCACGTTACAGCCTCTTAAAAACAAGGATCGAATTGTATCATTTTTCCATGACTCAGAAACAGCTGAACCATTTTTGCCCAAACTTTCAACCACAATAAAAATCACCTTTGGGCAGAGAGTGAATGGCTAAGGACAGCATCAGCCCGTCAGAATGGAAAGGATTACACTACAGGAGCGGCTCTGAGCTGCACACTCACACACTCCCACCGCCACACCACCCTGACATGGAAACTTGTCTCCACCACCAAGACCCGCTCCCCCACCTCCGCCGATCTATTACTGTAGGGTGGCTTGCAGGAGTCAAGCTTGGCTTTACAGGATCTCTCAAGACAGCTGAAAGTGAGCAGACCAGTATGTTATTGTGGGGTGACCAATGACCTCCAGGCTGCAAAGACTGCCATTTATTATTGGAGGGTTGGTTGTAACACTGGGGTTGGTGGCAGCTTTTTTAAGATTAAAATGCAACTTAAAAAAAAAGGATCCCCAGAAAGGAAGACACAGCCTTTGCAAACAGAGAAAGACCCTCCAAAAGGGTTGCTGTCCGGGCCTGACCCCAGTAATAGTGTTGCTGCTACGATGGCCAAACCTGTAATGGTTGGAGATCTACAAACCTGCCTAGAAGAAGAATAAAAAAAGAACAACAATGTCAAGCAATCTATTTCTGTCCCAGCTCTATTGTACAGTATTTCACTTGGAACAGATGGGATTGCCCTCCCTCCCCCACAGGCTGGAAAGATGCAGGCTCAGCTTAGATTTGGGGGGGAGGGGGAATTTGGGGGGGCTAGAGGGAAATAAAACAGATGGAAAATATATGAATTCCCTCTCTATATTTCCAGCTAAATATGAAAAATGGAAGCTGACACACAGCAAAAAAAGCCATTAAAATGGAAATGATGAAGGGTGGGAAGCACTGCAGCAGATACCTCCCCCAGGCCTGCGGGAGATGCCGCAGCTCAAAGCGCCCCCTCGGCCTCTCTCGCCCACACCCAGCGCCGCCGCTGGCAGCACCATGCAGGCAGGGCACACCGGCCACCAGCTCCGGGCCGCAGGTTCAGATTAAAACCTGACTGCTCTGAAAAGCGACTCCTGCCACTCCACTGGCAGTCAGGAGAGATGGGCTAAGGAGGCGTCTTGCCCCAAATACCTGGCCTGGCCCGCGCCCGGCACCATGCACCCTCTGCCTACAGCACACGCAGGGGAGCGGGCAGGCAGGGAGACACGCACGCAGGGCCAAGCCCAGGCAGTCAGGCACACAGAGACAGGCAGAGAGATGCACACACACAGGTGCACGCTCAGAGTCAGGCAGGGTCACGCACAACACAAAGCAGACACAAGCATGCACACACTTAGGTGTGCACAGCGAGGCCTGGACAGGCGTGCAAGCTCTCACCCACCGAGCAATCAGCTCCTCACCCTGCCTGTTCTCAAGGCAGACACGGCTTTGCTGACACCTCCGCGCACCCTGTAGGACCCTGGCTCTCGCCTCCTCACTCCCAACCCCGAGCCACCCTCCCGCCCACAGCCTGCATCTGCTGATACCTCCCAGAAGGAGGCAGAGCAGGAAACAGCCCTGCTGCTGGAAAGGCTGACGCTGGTGCCGAGCGGTTCTTTTCCCGGGTTGCTGGCTGTCGGCTGCCCCAGGGTCCCCCGGAGCGGGAGGCAGGACTAAAGGAGAGAGCAGTGCAGGACACTAGCCTCGCAGAAGGCACAGCCAGGGCAGAAGAGAGCCGCATGGGGAGCTGCCTGCGGGGGATTCCTGGGTACCAGGGATACCTGAGCTGTCCCTCACCCATGGCTCCCGAGTGGCTCATCTATGAGCTCAGTTCCTGCCCCTCCCTACACACAGGAGGAGGGGCCCTGGCATCCTCGCTGCCCGTGAGATGCTCCCAGACAGGGGCCACGGGCAAGGCCGGCACTCTCCGGTGGCAGCCGCCAGGACACAGGGGAAGCTGCAGTGTGGGGAGATGTGGCTGCCCCTGCAGAGAGCAGAGCTCGTGCTGGGGTGGAGGCTGCAGGCTCTAGCCCGTGGGGGGAGTGGCCCCATCACAAGGGGACAGCATTGCTCCCTAGAGAAAGAGGCTGATCTTTCTGCTGAGCACAGAGGACAAGCTGGGGGCAGGATGCGCCTGAAGCAGAGGGCCAGTAGGAATCGCTGGATGAAAACGCGTTCAAACCCCAGAGTCCAGAGAGCACGGATACTTGTCCCAGGCCTGGCACAGGTGGGCACAGGAGATCTCGCCTCCCTATGCCTCACCCAGACACCCAGGGGGGCAAGGGCACAGACCTGCTCCCGGGTCTTCAATCAGTAACGTGGGGGGGGGGGGGCGTGTTTCAGGCTCCATCTCATCAGAGGGGAATCTGCTGCAAAAGGGCCTGGACTCTGATGGGGGAAACACCCCGGGAGCTAAAGACCCCAAGCCCAAGGTTGTTACCTGCATCACCGGGATCGGGGATAACAGACAGAGCAAAACCAGCCCCTCAGGACAGGGCAACAGCTGGGGAGAGGGAACCTAGGGTAGCCGCAGGGAGTTTGGGTGGCAGGGAGAAAAGGGGCGTGGAAAACAGCATTGATATGGCCTGGAGTTAGGAGCATGGTTTGTAGGCAGGGCGTAGGAGAGGATCCCTGGTGGCCCCAGGCTATGGAGCCTGGATGGAAGTCATGGATCCAGGGTGGGAGGAGAGTTCAGATAAGGCAGCTGCAGCAGAGGGGACCTGTTGCAGCCCTAGGGCGGCGGTGTGAATAGAAGCCCCAAGGCAAGAGGGCGTGGAAAGCAGCTAGCACAAGGGGATCTGCATGGCCCCGGGGGGGGGAGGGGAGGGGATGGAGCCCTGGTAAGGGGTTCAGAAGGCAGCTGCAGCAGGGGGACCTGTCACGGCCCCGCAAAGGGAAGACGTTATGTGCACTCGCGTTTCAGTACTCACAGGCTGGCCTCAGAAGCCAGGTGGCCGCAGCTGCCTGGGGAGACGTGTAGATGATGCTCCAGGCTGGCGGAGGTGGACGATCCCTCCTGGTGCAGGCGGGCAAAAGCCCCAGTCCCAGAAGCACACTAGCCTTCACCAATTCCTACCACTGCCGTTAACACAAGCTACACTTCTAGCGGGGACTCCTCTACTTTTGCAGCCCCCTCTGTCTCGTCTTTGCTGAAATAAAAAGAAACAAGAGATTCTTTTCATGGAAACTGCAAGGCAGCACGTGGCTGCGTATGCTCCTGGCCAGCAGAGTCATCACATCGGTAGAGGCCGAGACACCAGTACCACTGACCCATGCAGCCACCTCTGGGGTGGAATGTGGCAGCTGATTAACAGCACCCAGTAGCCCTACACTACAGTTTGGGGCAAGGAAGGAAGAGACTGTATCTGTTTTAAGCTGCAGGGGGATCTAGGGAGGCAGAGAGAAACTATCCCAGCTGCAGTCTGGCCAGGACACCTGGACTAAACACACCGCTCTTGGGGAAAGTGCGATGGGATCTTTAACAGCCAGAAGGGGTCAGACCTTAGTTAGCCTGCCATGCAAAAGACAGCCCTGTGCCAACAGAGCATCCCCAGGCACCATGCAGGAGCTGTTCAGCACGGACTCCAACGCGATTTCCTGCGGCACAGCGCTCCGGAGGGGAGAGGGTGAGCCACCTACTGAGTTGCTAGCGAGCAGCAACCCCAGGCCACAGCCAGTCCAGGGAAAGAAGGGAGGATGTAAAACTGTAGGGCTGGGGGAATGGAATCTGGAGTCCCATCTCTGTGGAGACGTTGAGATGCCAGGTCTGAACAAGCACTGGTCCGGCTTCTCTCTGGGACTCGGAACGGGGCTAACTCACTGACAGCAGATCATGTGCCATTAAAATACCAGTGCCCAAAGCACCACCTGTCAGCTCTCAAAGATGCTCCTGTTTGCCCCCTGCTGTGCGCACAGCTGGGTGAAGAAGAGCCCCGGAAGCCAGTAGCAATACCACAAACAAGTGGGCAGCCAAGCGAGCTACCGCCCCAGTCCCCTCCACAGCAGCACTGGGCTCCTGTGACCAGCTCCCAGCCAGCGCCAGGCCTCCGAATATCCCAAAGCAGGTGTCCCCCCGGCACTGCCAACACATCTCTTGCAGCCTTTTCTCTGCACTCCATCCATCAGCTCGGTCCCTTCTCTCTCTCCCCACACCCACTCACACCCTCCGCAAGTTCTCACCCTACCCAAGAAGAGACTGATCCAGTGGTTACGACAGAAGACTCCTAGGTTCCATTCCCAGCTCTCCCACTGACTCACTGTGCGACCGTGGGCAAGTCACTGTCCTGCTCCGTGCCTCAGTTTCCCCATTGATAAAATGGGGATAACGATTGCGACCTTACCTCATTGTGGGGCTTCAACTCCTCACTCCATGTAAAGCACTAGGGGAACCCCAGGAAGAACAGGCTGAATCTCACTCTCCTCCCCCCTTGTTCTGCCCAAGTCAGAAGTGAGTGGGATGGGGAGTGGGGGGGGGAATCGGCTCCTCTCCGGATGGGGATTTGTATCAGGGTTTTAATGTTTTGCACAGCGCCATGATTTCGGCAGTCAGCATTCGACAAAGCCCTACGGACAGGCCCAGGGAGGAATGGTTCACCTTGGGAGTGAACTGGCCTCCCCAAGGGAGCCTTGGCACTGGGAAGCCCTTTCTGCAATGGGAACTCGTGGCCTCCTGAAAGCAGCTGCTGAGGAGACACCGTGCAGCTCTCCATGGCAATGGGTGTGAAATCACACACGAGGTCCTCGTCCTACACACACACCAACCCTACTTCTCCCATGCAGAAGGAATGTATACCAAGGCAGAGACACCAGAAAGAATAACAGCCACGAAGGCAAAAAAAAACAAGCCCAAAACCAAAACTAGAATCCCAGCCAGAAAACCCGGGAGGCGAGTCTAGAAACCCAGCCTCAAGATCTTACTTTTCAGAAGGAGCAATCAGTGGGGATCCTGCACCAGAAGAATTCACCGAAGATGGAACCAAATGAAGCCCTGTGTTTCTGCCCCCTGAAGGTGTTTTCATTCCGATTTCCTTTCCTGATCAAAGCCGACAAAAGCCCCAAAACAAACTCCCTCCCCCTCTCATGCGCCCACCTCCTCCTTGACAGCTGGGGGCATTCCCAGCCCCTGGGCAATGCAGAGGTCTTCAGCAGCTCCCCTACAAGGGGCGAGGGGACCCTTCACCCACCCTCCCCTACTTCTGGAGGCCACCACCACAAGTGTACCATACACATCAGGAAAGCCCCCAAGCCGGAGCCCATCTCCTTGGGCAGCCTTGAGCACGTACGTGAGCCTGCTGCCAGCATACTGGCTCTTCAAGCCCTTGCCAGAGCTCTCCAGCACCTCTGGGGAGAGTTTTTAAAAACAAACACACACAGGGCAGCTCTTGGGGGGATCACAGCCCAGACTGGAGGCCTGACCCATCCCTAACCCAAACACAGGCTAGCGAGAAAACTCACCTGCTGCAGATGGCCCATCAGGACTAGGACAAGGCACTGATTTTGTCTGCCTTGGGCACTCCCATGGCCCCCCATCACTGAGCACCTCACAAGCATTAATGGATTTGTTCTCACACCCCCTGTGAGACAGGGCCAGGCTACTATCACCCTCCCTGCCGTACAGAGGGGAATAGAGGCACAAAGAGGCTCAACTCGTATCTCTCAAGTCCCAGGCTGGCCCCCTCACCACCGGGCCATGCTCCTGCTCCAGCCACTAACGCCCCTTTGGCAGGCAGAGGCCCACATTCCCGGGGCGGCGTGAGGCACTCAGGCTGGGACAGCTGCAGATCAGGACTGAAGGAGTCTGGGGGAGCTTGCACAGCACTGCCCACGCTACACCCATCACTGATGGTTGTGTTAATCCAGAGTCACACCAGCACTGACACCTCTAATTCCAGAGCCTTAGAAGAGCTGCCCTCTCCATGTGCACACCTCGCAAATCACGGAGAGACTAAGAGCGCCCTCTAGAGCGGGAGCCAACGCTTCTCTCTTTGGCTGAGTGGTGCCTAGCGCAACAGGGCCCCGCCACAGACTCCGGCTTCCTGTAATACAGGAACGGGAACGCGTGCTGTGCAGAAGACGGGCTCCCAGCCATCTCCAGGATGACCTGTGATTCTTACAATGTGCGAGTGACCAGACCCCCTCCCACCCCGTCAGCACCGTTTGTCAGGAGAGAAAACAAACACCCACCCCAAGGAGCAAAGGTACAATTGAGGCGAAGGGCCTCCCTTACAACGTGTATATGGAAAATTGTGTCAGCGCCTGCACTGGGAAACTGTGACTATCCAGCCCATTACAATAATCACAGGGTGAAATGGCCAGCTCTCTGCCCACACTGTGTATTAGGAAAATCAAGGCCCAGGGAAACACATGCAGCATGATTCCTGCATTTGCTTCTGACGCGTTCAAAAGATGGGGAAAATCTGCAGCCAGAGGTTGAAGCTGGTTAGTTAGCAGAGCTATGGAGGCACACAGGGCAAGAGCGCAGTTCAGGGCCACCATCCTAAGAGCTGACGCAGCTGCGGGGTTTCTAATGCAGAGGCTTGAGCGCAAGAGACAACTGAATGGCGAGGTCTTGTGTTTAAAATCCATTTACCTGCCGCATCACGCTCTGGGTTGAATTCGCCAGTGTCAAAGCATTGGGGTTGGCAGAAGGAGGCATCCAACAGGTGGTGAATAGTTAGGAGAAAGCAGAGGCCTAACTAGACCCTTTCTACCAGCAGACAGCGCAAGGCTGGCAGGGTGACCTGCAATAGCCACAAGACTCAGCAACCACTGAGGGGAACCTGAGACACCAACAGGCCCCATCGAGAGGATCAGACTAAAATAAAAGCAAAGCCGCAAAGCTCAGAGCATTTGCCCAGCTCTGTCTCAGCTCAAGGCCCCAAAGCCAGACGTGCATGTCCCCTAACAAGATCAGTGCATGGCACCAACCAGCTCTGCTGGAGGCACAGTCCACACCAGGGAAGATTTCTAGAGTGAAAGTGACTTACAGCAGGAGAGATGTTACTGGAATTCTGTGCCTTTCCACTCCAGAATGGCAGATCACAAAGCAAGGATCCAAGAACTACTGCGGCCTAATCCCAGACCTCACACCAACTCCCTCTGGCTGCATCTCCACTGGCAAGAGCAGACACACTGGTACAAACAGGGCAAGGTTGGCTATCACCGTACTGTCAAGGTCAGACAATAGGCCACTAAAAGCACCCAAGCCCTGTCTACACTGGTGCTTCCATCACTGCTACTATCAGCAAAGTTGCCCCCGGTGAGTTATGCTTTATAGATTTATTTATAATGCAACATGGGTGTAAAACACTCAGAGCAGAATGGCAGAGCAAGGATGTATCACACTCAAGGTGTTATTTCTGTGCTACTGTAACAGAAATAAATAATGCCGCCACCCCACGCCAACAATGAAGTGTAAAAGCAGCGACATCAGAGTGCACAGGCCAAAGGGAAACCTTCATTAGGACGCCCTCTCTGCCAAAGCAAAAGCCCTGTTCTCTCCCTTGAGTGCTCCCTGGAAAGTTCACACACACACACAGGCATTTCTATCACACTCTTGTGAAGGCAAAACTCCTGTCTAAGCCCTGAACATTACAACAACAAAGCCATCTAAGAAGTCCACACCACGTTAGTGTCTAGCTCTGGGCACCAGGCCTCGTTAGCAATTTGGATCACCACAAAAAGTTCCCTATACGCAGAGTTTTTGTGCTAATTAGGAAAGCGTCTTTTGGACACACCAGATTTCAAATGCTCACTGCTGAGACAGCAGAAATCAGGACAGCGGGTGATGTTATAGTGCCATGTTATCTGGCATCAGGGTGTGTAGACGCAGCCCGGTAGTTTTCCACAGCTGCACAGTGCATAGATAAGAACACCAACATGTAGCACTTGTAGAGGCCCTTTTCATCCAGAGAGCTCGAGGTGCTTTACAAAAAGACAAGTAAGTATCCCTGTATCAGTCTTACACGTGGGGAAATTGAGGCACAGAGAAGTTAAATGACTTGCTCAGGTCCCACAGGAAGTTGTTAGCAGAACTGGGATTAGAACCCACGTCCACTGATTCCCAGCTCTGTGACAGACAGACAGACAGACATTATACACACATGCACTTGTGGGTTATGTTTAGACGTGCTGATGGCTAACTTGCAGTTTGATGTACTTCTGCTATTGAGGAAGATGTTGTTTCGCTTCATTCCAAGTAGTTTTTTCAGACTGTTTTGGGATCAAGATCTGAACAATCCACAGACTTACAATGAAAAGGATTTCTAGAGGGGCAGGATCCAGCAATCAGCAGGAAGCCCTCAATGGACATTCACCAAGGTCCACATGTGGGTGGCTTGGGAAGATCTCCAGCATGGACATGGGGTCTGATTTGTCACAGCCCTACTTTCGAACAGCTTCATGCACTTTGGTGGGTTACTAAGACACATAGAAATCTGTCATTGAGCATAACTCAGAGCGCCCACCTCTGTATGTACTGTCGGTGCTTCCCCTGACATCTGTCCATCTCCAGAGCTAGCAGAGCACAGATGTTGCGCGCAAGGTGTTGTTCTATAGGGGACAAGGAGGACAACTTCACACACACCCCAATACACACATCCCAAATACAGAAAACACCCCCAAAATGAGCCCAGGAAGACACACCTGGGGCAACAGATACTGCCTCCAAACTAACACATCCGTGGGAATGCCGCATTCTCTTTAGAGAAAATAAACAAAGGGCCAAATTTCTCCCTGTAGTAGCTCCATGGAAGTCGGAGGAGTTATCCCAGGAACAGGGTTGGACTAAACTATTTAGGAATATTTGGACAAAAGCAGAACCAGCCGTAGGGCTGGGCCAGATTCCATCCACCCCCCTCCAATCTTCTAAATCAGGATTTAAAAAACTTTTGCCTCTTCCCCAAAATGTGACTTTTAAGAGGCCTCTCGTTGACCCATCTGCTATCAGTCACAGAGCAACAGTAACAGAGCAGCTCAAACAGGCATTTGAGAAATTGTCCTTCACTTTTCCAAGACAGGCAGCAAATAAAAGTGCAACACTAACCATACAGTAGCATCTGAGAAGGATGTGTGCTCTTGACTACACTCTGTACAATACTTCTGAATGAGCAGCTTTTCTAAAAATAAAGCATTTATATCCTAGAATACTTCTCTTAGTCGGACTCTCTTTTAAATATTCTAGAACAGACTGTATGTACAATCCAACATGTACTTAAAATTATGCCTGTATAAATAGTAAATGCATGTACACACGATGCACATAGATAGCACACACTAAATACATGTTCACATATGCACAGACCTCTCTATACAACGGCACGAAAAATTGTGTCAGTTTCTAAAACTGCAGATTCCACACTCTGAAAACACTACATTCCTGCTAACGTGCAATTGCAAAATATTCCTGGTTAAACATTCCGTTTATAATATTGCTTTCTATCAAAATATAAAAAAAACACTTTTTCACCACCACCACCCCAAAAAACGGAATCGCTTTTAACCAACATGCAACATTCACAACCATCTGTTTTTTAAAAAATAGCTACATTCAGATTCAATTAACTTTTCCATTAAATAATCCAAAGGGAAAAAGAGAAAATACAGAGCAGGGTTTTTCATTGCGTTTTTGTTTTAAAAAAGGCTGTTTAAAAAAACTTTTGCATAAGTTAACTTTAAATCTTAAACCCCCTCCCACAGAAATGTTTGACTGTTTCCTTTTTTAAAAGTCCAATTACATTGTATCCCCCCCGTGCAAGCAAGATCTTTGCAACAACACAAAAACGCAAAGCAAAGAAAAACCACCCCTTTAGGTGCCCCTTTTGCCTTTCAGCTGCCTCTCCCACATTCTCAGACAGTTTTATTAAAATTTTCAGACAAAAGAAAAACAAAAATGGCAGCCTGGCTTATTTTTAAAACAGGACAGGGACGCCATATTCTGCAGATCTGCAAAAAAAGACAGAAATCTGAGGCTTGGCCACTCAAAAAACCCCAGGCAGCTGCAAAGTGCAAAGGGAAAGCTCCGTTTGCAATCAGTTTATTTGCATTAAGCCCCATGAATCATTGTTTACCGGAGAATTGCACCAAAGGGGTTTTTTGAATAACCCGGCTTTAAAAAAAAAAAAAGCAGACACTTCCTATACCAACAATCATGCTCCCTTTGCAAATTGCAATCCAGCCAGCGATCCGTCTGCAAGGAAGAAAATGGGCTCCCCCCTTTAGCTTCCTCTCTTCCTCCTCCTCCTCCTCATCAACCCGCCCAGGCTTTAGTGCATTGGGGGGCACTGAAAAGACAGAGCCCCCCACGCAGCCGACACTCATCGGGATCAAATGCATGCATCAGATTAAAAAAAGAGGGGGGGAAGACCCTAAAACCCTCCTCTCGCTAGACTCCAGCAGCCGCAGCCCGAACCCAGCAGCGCTCGCTGGAAACTGACATGCGATTGCAATTTGCAAAGGAGACCAAGAGCGACAGAAAACTACATGCAACTTTTTCTTGCGACCCCATCTTTAAAAAAATCCCCCCTCTCTTTGCGGCTCCCCCTTCCATGCTCCTTTCTTTGCTGGGAGCAGGGAGCCCCCCAACCACCACCACCACTGCGCTCCTGGGGGGAGGGTTGTTGCATACAGACCTTGGTTTGCCTTAACTGCTGGTTTTTTGGATTTTGTTTTGTTTTTTTGGCAAATAGACATAAAAAAAAAGAAACCCCCTGTCCCCAGCCCACCCCCCGCCCCAAAGCCGAGGTTGGGATGGTCTTTCTGGCTTTGCTGTGTGTTAAAGGCTTAGTTCAAACCTTCCGGGTCGCCTGCTGTTCACTTCTGGGTTCTGCAAGCACCAAAGCACCACTAGAGCCGAGGCGGTAGGAAGTGCATGAACCTCCTTTGCAAGGGAGGTTTCGGGGGGTTCTTCTCCTCCTCCCTCTTTGTGGTGTCTGGGAACCTCCTTTTCTCCCCCTCCCTCCTTCCGGAGTCTGGGGAAGAGCTCCCAAAAATGGGCAGACACAATATTCTAATCAGAGATGGGGGGAGGGAGCCTTTGGCAAAGAAAACAGAGGGGGAGAGCTGCTGCTGTGTGCCGAGAGGAGCGGGGGACTGCCGCCGGGCAGTGCCCAGGCAGAGTGCGCAGGGCTGGGCAGGGTGGCCTTGGGGCGCCCTCGCAGTCTCTCGACTCTCCTTCGCTATTCCCCCCCTCCCCAAAAAAAGTTGCCCAGTGTTTCCCTTCCTGGCCCTAGAGCCAGAGCCGAGCCACCCACAGAGCCTTGGGAAGCCGGGATTGTACACAGTTCTCCACCTCCTCTCTTGATAGGCCACGATAACGACACTTTGCATGACAATAGCCCCTCTTTTCTGCAGAGCTTAAAGTGCTTCCCCAAAGTGAGGAAGCGAACACACGCTTTGTGATGTGTTGTACAGCCCCTAGCATTATGGGGTCCTGATCCATCACCAGTATATACAAGAATAATTCTTATCCCCATTTTTCAGATGCGGACACTGAGGCACTGAAGCGCTTTCTCCACAGGGAGTCAGTGGCAATGTTGGGAATAGAACCCAGGTGGCCTGTCCCATATTCCCCAGCTCTATTTGAAAAATGAGAAAATGCTGCCTGTTTCAGTCCCGATGAAAGACCCTTCTTGGCACTGTCCCAGCTTCTCTTACTGTTTGGAAAGATATAGTAAGAGTAATTTGCATCAATTTTAAAGTAATTTTCCCTGCCTGGTTCTTCATTAGAACCTGCTTGGAAGTTGGATAGAGAGTTGGGCCCTGGTTCTGCAAAGTCACTCCTGGCAAGCAAATCCGCAAGCCCATGCAAAGCCCCATCCACTTTTATTTATGCGCTTTTAAGTGCAGTTCCTTGCAGGATTGGGGCCACTGACTGAATCAGTTTCTCTCTATCTACATTTCCATCACTGCAATATCTGTGCACTGTTATTCATTAGCATTGTATTGGCTTTGTTATTTAGTATTTGTCTAGTGCAAAGAATGTGCTAGCTACTTCATAGGTAGGTTCTAAGCCAGAACGTTGAGAATCATGACAAGTTATGTTCAAAAGAGTAAAATTCTGTGCCCATTTGCAGCCACATGCTTCCAAATGGGTTCTTTCCTCTGTACAGGGCCACACATGCAGCTTTGCTACTGTTCACGGGTGTCCTGCTTACTGTCCACATGGGGTAGTTTTCAGAGGGGCATTCTTTGAGGGTGGGTGGGCATGGAGCAGGCAGGGTAGCGTTAGTTTATTTTATAAGGTTTAAACAATTCCTTTGGGAAAGTCTCTGACCAAAGTAATTGCATGCACTTCACTGTGGCAGAGAGAAAGATAGGTTTCCATTTGCTCGCTGGAGCATTTTCAATGTCTTTCTCAGGTTCTCAGCATGCTCACAGCTCCGGCTGTGGGATAGTGGACTGAGCATGGAGTTGGACATCCAGAATGAATACAAAAGTGCTGGATAAGCACAAAATATTATTAGAATCCCATTATGAGTCTCCACTCAGCTGCCACTTGATACGAAATGTTTTAATCCACGGGGCATTTTATTTTGTCAAAATATTTTTAAATCGCCTTTAAAATATGGCTATTGATCACTATGCAGTGGATATATTCCATCACATTTCTACTACTCCAGTCCCCCATCCAGCGCTCCAGTCCAGCAAGCCCTTCCTCAGGCAAGTGAGGATTTCAGGGATCAAGTACTACCTTTATAAGAACAAACCTGCCAGAATCTCAGTGTAAGGCTAGAGAAGACCTGGTTAGTCTGTAAATCGTAGAATCATAGCAATGTAGGACTGGACGGGACTGTGCCAGGTCATACAGTCCAGTCCCCTGCACTGAGGCAGGACTAGGCATTATCTAGATCATCCCTGACAGGTGTTTGTCCAACCTGTTCCTAAAGCCCCCAGTGACGGAGCTTCCACAACCTCCCTAGGTAATTTGTTCCAGCGATTAACTATCCTTACTGCTAGGAAGTTTTCTCTAATGTCTAAGCTATATCTCCCTTGCTGCAATTTAAGCCCATTACTTCTTCTCCTGTCTTCAGTGGATAAGGAGAACAATTTATCACCCTCCTCTCTATAACAACCTTTTAGGTATTTGAAGACTGGTATCATGTCCCCCCATTAGTCTTCTCTTCTCCAAACTAAACAAACCCAGTTTTTTCAATCTTTCCTCACAGGTCATGTTTTCTCTGCACCTTTAATCATTTTTGTTGCTCTCCTCTGGACTTTCTCCAGTTTGTCCACATCTTTCCCAAAGTGTGGTGCCCCAAACTGAACACAGTACTCCAGTTGAGGCCTTACCAGTCCTGAGTGAAAGAATTATTTGTCATGTCTTGCTTACAATGCTCCTGCTAATACATCCCAGAATGATGTTTGCTTTTTTTGCAACAGTAGTACGTTGTCCTTTACTTTTGTTGACTCATATTTAGTCTGTAACCTCCAGGTCCTTTTCTGCAGTACTCCTTCATAGGCAGCCATTGTCCATTTTGTATCTGTGCAATTGATTGTTCCTTCCTAAGTGCAGTACTTTGCATCTGTCCTTATTGAATTTCATCCTATTTATTTCAGACCATTTCTCCAATTTGTCAGGATCACTTTGAATTCTAATCCTGTCCTCTAAAGTGCTTATAACCCCACCCAGCTTGGTATCATCCAAAGACTTTACAAGTATATCCTCTGTGCCATTATTCAAATCATGTATAAAGATATCAAATAGAACCAGACCCAGGACAGATCCCTGTGGGGCCCCACTCATTATGCCCTTCCAGCTTGACTGTGAGCCATTGATAACTATTCTCTGAGTACCATTTTCCAACCAGTTGTGCACCCACCTTATAGTAGGTTAATCTGGGCTATATTTCCCTAGTTTGCTTCTCCGAAGGTTATGTGAGACAGTATCAAAAGCCGTACTAAAGTCGAGATAAATCACATCTACTGCTTCCCCCATCACAAGGCTTGTTACCACGTCAAAGAAGGATATTAGGTTGGTTTGACATGATTTGTTCTTGACAAATGTGGACTCTTACTTACCACCTTACTATCTTCACTGTGAGCCGTCCGGTCACTGCTACCCTTTTGGGGGAGAACTGAAACCAAAAAGTCATTTAACACTTTGTCCATTGCTGCGTTTTCTGTTATTGTCTTTCCCTTCTCATTGAGTAATGGGTCTGCCCTGTGCTTGAATCATAGACCCAGAGGATAAGAAGGGACTACAAGGGTCATCTAGTCTAATCCCCTGTGTGTCTAAACCATCCAAGGCCGGTGACTATCCAGCCTCCTTTTGAAAACCTCCAGTGTAGGAGCTTCCACAACCTCCCGAGGCGTCTGCTCCATTGGCCAACTGTTCCTACACTTAGGAAGATTTTTCTGAGATTTAATCAAAATCTGCTCTGCTGGAGTTTGAACCCAGGGCCTCTTGTCCTGCCCTCTATGGCCTGGGCCTTCCTCTTGCTTCTCATGTGTTTGTAAAATGTTTTCTTGTTACCTTTTATGGCCCTAGCTGGTTTAAGAGGACCGTGAGCCTAGTGTGCGTGGGGGTGTTTTGTTGACTCCCGCGATGGGAGAGGGTAAAAGGACAGAATGGGCCGGGTCCCGCGAGATGTCCAGCCCTCACAGGACTTTCAGCATAGGCCTGAGGTCTTGCGGGATTCGGCAGGAGAGTTGGAGCCATGACAGGAGCCTCTGCAAAGGGCCATCTCCTGTTTGCTGGTTTCCAGCGGCATCCCACCCTCCATCCCTTATCTAGGGGGCTGGGGGCTGTGCTTGTCACCACTTTGGGGCTGGGAAGGAATTTTTCTCCATATCCCCAGACTGGCTGGGGCTTTTTGCCTTCCTTGTGGCAAAACCTAGGGGTTGGGGCAATCGGAAGGCTGGGTTCTCCCCCTCCCCGAGGGCACAGTTTGGACCCGTGAGAACAGCACAATGGATTTCAAGAAGGCGACTTTAGCAAACTCAGGGAGTTGGTAGGTAAAATCCCTTGGGAAGCAAATCTAAGGGGAAAAACAATTGAAGACAGTTGGCAGTTTTTCAAAGAGACTCTATTAAGGGCACAAGAGCAAA